AAGGGGAGGAGGGAGGGGAGGGGAATGGGGAGGGTGTTGCAGGGGAGGGGAGGGAGGGACAGAGAGGGGAGGGAAGAGGAGGAGGGGCCTGCAGAGGGGAGGGGCTGGTGAAAGACCCTTTTGCTCCGCTCCCTAAGCATCCTCACCTGAAGCCCAGACTCCAGACCAAGGTCCAGAATTTGGGGTCCAGGGCCCGGACTCCAGACCGGGGATCCTAAACACTCGAGCACAGACCTCAGTACGGGACCCCAGGCCTCGGACCGTGAATCCTAGATCCCAGACTCAACCCCAGCTTCTAGATCCCAGACCCCGGACCCAGGTGGTGGGTCCGCCCCGTGGCACGGGCTCCACTGTACAGAGACATAGCCTGAGGCCGGGAAGCTGCGGATGAGCGGGCGGAGTGCAGGCCTCTTCTCTCACACTCAGCAGACGCCCGGCACCCTCTCCAGGTCGGTGTGGACGGAGCTGGGACTTCCCCAAAACGCTTACTATATACATAACGTCAAGGTAGACAAGTGCCACAAAGATTGAGGAACCAGGCTGGGCGCAGTGGCTCACGCCTGTAATCCCAGCACTTCAGGAGGCCGAGGCGGGTACATCACCTGAGGTCAGGAGTTCGAGACCAGCCTGGGCAACATGGCAAAACCCTATCTGTACAAAAAATACAAAAATTAGCCAGGCAGGCGTGGTGGTTCACGACTGTAATCCCAGCACTTTGGGAGGCCGAGGCAGGAGGATCACGAGGTCAGGAGATCGAGACCATCCTGGCTAACACGGTGAAACCCTGTCTCTACTGAAAATACAAAAAATTAGCCGGGTGTGGTGGCAGGTGCCTGTAGTCCCAGCTACTTGGGAGGCTGAGGCAGGGGCGTGAACCTGGGAGGCGGAGCTTGCAATGAGCCGAGATGGTGCCACTGCACTACAGCCTGGGTGACAGAGCAAGACTCTGTCTCAAAAACAACAGAAAAAAAAAATACGAAAATTAGCCAGGCGTGGTGGCCGGCACCTGTAATCCCAGCTACTTGGGAGGCTGAGGCAAGAGAATCACTTGAACCGGGGAAGCAGAGTTTGCAGTGAGCCAAGACCGTGCCATTGCACTCCAGCCTGGCAACAAGAACAAAACGCTGTCTCACAAAAAAAAAAAAAGGCCGGGCGCAGTACCTTATGCCTGTAATCTCAGCACTTTGGGAGGCCGAGGAGACGTGGATCATGAGGTCAGGAGATCGAGACCATCCTGGCCTAACAATGGTGAAACTCCATCTCTAACTAAAAATAAAAAAATTAGCCAGGCGTGTGGTGGCGCCTGAAGTCCCAGAGGTACTCCAGGAGGCCTGAGACAGGGAATGGCTTTGAACTGGGAGGTGAGCTTGCCAGTGAGCCGAGATCGTGCCCTGCACTCCAGCCTGGGCCAACAGAGCGAGACTCCATATCACACAAAAAAAACAAAAAAACAAAAACAAAAAAACTAGGTGTCGGTGGGGTATGCTCACCTTGTTGTCCCAGCTACTCAAGAGGCTGAGACAGGAGAGGCATCACTTGACCTGGAAAGTTGAGCTTTTGATGAGCTTATCGATTCACCACGTGCTCCACCCTGCGGCAACAGAGCAAGTCGCTGTCTCAAAACAAAAAAAAAAGACGCAAATAGGTTTCAAGAAAACCCCAAGTGCGATAATGCTATTTTCAGTTCTCTCATCGGTTG